TTATTTATTTATTTATTTATTTATTTATTTATTTATTTATTTATTTATTTATTTATTTGATTTATATCCCGCCCATCTAGTATAATTATACCACTCTGAGCGGCTAAAGTCTACAAAAGTGCTACAAGTTACACCTGCTTTAACCATGTCTTCACCCGCACTTCCCCCCAGTAGCTAATTCAATTTAATGATTCAGCATGTGTGTCATTGGTTATGCTTAATAAGTATTGAGGATTTTTACAAGGTAGCTGTATTAGTCCTGGAATTGGGCAGAATGAGGTGTCCTCAGCTGGCAGATCCTGGCAAGGAACAGTACAGTACTCAAGCAGAGAGCTAGTCTACTGCTTTTTGATGAAGTGGAAGGCACCGTCTCATTGCAAACATTGGGTTTGTCCATTCCATTTTTGTACCTGAGAAAAGAACGGGTGCCATCTTGTTCACAGAGCAAAATTTCTCATGCTGGCCCCACATAGTGTATGATTACGCAGTAACAGATAGTGCTGGGTCATATGCTTTGGTCTAGATTGTTCTGCAGCAAGGCAAATATTAGTAATATTTGGGAAGAAGATTGCATTTATTCAACGGCAATTTGCTTGGCTCTTTGTGCTTAGAGATTCTGTCAAATCATGAGAAGCGGAGTGTAGCACTGCACGTAAAACTGTTTCAGACTCCCTTGCCCACTGCCTGCTCTTTTGGCAAACCAGCTTAGGCATTATTTGAAACCTGATGAGCTTCAACAAGACTCAATCAAGGTTACATGAAAATTGTTTCATGCTTTCCATTTGTTGTATGGATAGAATCTGCTCTAAGCTGCTTTACATACTGGCCAAAATCTTACTGGTATTCACAATATTTGGGAAGAAGATTGCATTTATTCAACGGCAATTTGCTTGGCTCTTTGTGCTTAGAGATTCTGTCAAATCATGAGAAGCGGAGTGTAGCACTGCACGTAAAACTGTTTCAGACTCCCTTGCCCACTGCCTGCTCTTTTGGCAAACCAGCTTAGGCATTATTTGAAACCTGATGAGCTTCAACAAGACTCAGTCCAGGTTACATGAAAATTGTTTCATGCTTTCCATTTGCTGTACGGATAGAATCCGCTCTTTAAGCTGCTTTACATACTGGCCAGAATCTTATATAAGGTTTGCATAATATGCTGTGCCTAGTTACACCTAAGTGATAAGGTGTGAAAGATCTCATTTGCATAAATGGGTGTGTGACTGTACACCTCCTGGATGACGTCACAGCTGCTTCTGAGGGGCATGACTGCCCACCATTCTTCTTCTTTCTCACAGGTGCTAGAGAGCTTGCATAGAGCCTTTCCTTAGGCCAATTATAATGGCATGATGTAACCATTGTCGTATCTGAACTCTGTAACCTATCTGTATACTGTCCACTATCTGTGAGCTTGTAAGGTTAATAAAAGCACAGTCCTCCTGGGGGCAGGGCAGAATTCATTGGGAACCCATTCAGTGTTATTCTGCCTCTTCTACTAGTCGCCCATCAGGAGCACTGCTGGCAGACATCCCTGTGTATGTGGCTGACTTCTTTAACTTCTATAAGAGACTATTTGCTATCTTAATTATCTGGTGATCATCACAAAGCCCATCAGCTTTCTCATTTTGTGATTCCAACAAGTCGTGACCAACTCTAGGGCATGATGCTCATCCCCATTTCCAAGCCATATAGCCAGCGTTTGTCCGAAGACAGTTTCCGTGGTCATGTGGCCAGTGCAACTAGACATGGAACGCCGTTACCTTCCCACCATGGTAGTACCTATTTATCTACTTGCATTTGCATGCTTTCAAACTGCTAGGTTGGTAGGAGCTGGGACAAGTGACAGGAGCTCACTCTGTCACATGGATTCAATCTTACGACTGCTGGTCTTCTGACCTTGCAGCACAGAGGCTTCTGTGGTTTAACCCGCAGCACCATCACGTCCCTTAGATATGACCTAGAACCTCATCAATTTTCTGAAATTAGCCATGGTGAGTTAGGTAAATGTTACACAAACACTGGAAAGATTCTGGGAATTCTGTTGGCATCACTGTCTGATGGCAGAGGACCTCCAAATACAGTCATGTGAAAAAGAAAGTACACCCTCTTTGAATTCTATGGTTTTATGTATCAGGACATGATAAACATAAACTTGACTAGTTATACCAAGCCTCCCAAATGAGATTGGTACAGCCTTCTGGAAGTTTTGAAATATCTGCCCGACAATACCTATACAAGAATTCTGTTCATCACTTACCCAAATGTTGTTAATGCTTTCATCTGTATCCCAACAGGAAAGTATATTAATTAATCTCAGTGGGTGTTTGATGGGATTTGAATATTATAGAGCTGGAACCACATGCTCTTGGAAAAAAGCCAGGCTTCTTCCTGTATTTATTTAATAATAGTGGCTTGCAAGTCTATAGTCTGGTGCATGCAGAGCAGGTTCAGCTTAATAAAATGTTTTCCACAGAAACTAATGTTGTTGAAAACATACTGAGCATTCCAGTGGTCAATGACACAAACATAACCAGCTCTTTCTATCAATGACCTCTCTCATATTTCTAACTTTGAATAAATAACAGAACTGGTACATTTGTGCTGAAGGATGCAAAGAACACTTTAAAGTTGCAGGAGCCACAGAAAATGACTTCTACGTAGGTTGACACATATTCTGCACACAGAAAACAGCCCTTTAAGGTGATTAGGGCAATTATGACAAAGCAATGGTTTTTAGTTGGCATTTGGGAAAACCTAGGGCTTCCTGGAGAGTTTCTCAGTGAAAAGAACTGGCAATGATAATTTAAATCCATGAAAGAAGGGAAGTGAGGAAAAGAAGTAAGCTAACTTTCCCTGAAAGAGATGTATGAGACCATTTAAAAAAGGGGGTCAGAACTGTATTATTTAAATTTCACATTTAACAAAACAAAACAAACAAACAAACAAAAAACAATTCCTCCAATTGATTTGGAGTAATCCAGCCATAAGCCTACTAACTCATTTGGTATTGCTGGTTGTAAGAACTACGCCTCCGTTCAGGCAAGAGAACAACGAGGAGCCATATGCCTGACCTCTATGATATAATGAATACTTCGGGTGGAGGCAGATTCTCATCAAATGTTTGTGTTGCTATGCTGATGCTACCTACTGAAACATTTTTCACCCCATGACATATCCTGCCACTACCACAAAACTGATACCCAGCCAATCTCTTGTCTGTCTACCTTTGTCTTTTGCTGTTTTTTTCACACAGGAAGCATAAAATTTTACACAGAATCAAGCAGTTCCTCCACAAACTATAATATTGCTGTGCAGGACTGTGAATAATGTGTGCAAACAGGGAGGGATTCCTTTGAGAAAAAGAAATACATTATAGTAGCACTTGCAAAATCACCGTTCCCTAGCATATGAAACATATAAGGATATTGTGTGCAGGATAATGCTTGTGTGTGTGTGTGTGTGTGTGTGTGTGTGTTTAAAACAAATTTGAATATGAATACTTTATTGCTTCATAGCCAATTAGGCTGTACACATAAATAGAAATTAAACCACTTTAAAAATAGTATTTGGCATTTAATATAAGCACATATGAATAACCAGAAAATAATAAAATAATATAATAATATGGCATTCTCAAACAAGTATCAAGTTGTGAAATTAACGTGAAGAGCTTGTGAAATGGAGAATGAGTTCCATCTTTCCATGGCTCATTTGGCGAATTTACTGGTCCTATAGGATACATAGTAGTCTGTGCCAGCTAGCAGAAGTGATATTGTACATAAAAGAGAACTGTTCTTGAACCTGGTGATTTAAGATACTGATCCCTCAAATCTGCATACATCTGGTTTTGCCACATTGGTCCATATAACATCCCTGACTCTCTTTCAACTCCAGTGAGTTCAATCTGCATTCTGTCAGCAGTTGTCTCACTTTGTGGGACAAATATGGGGGCACCATAGGTAACAAAGTGGAACAACAAGTCTATTATACATAGAAATAAATGGCACTGGATAAACTTGAGGATTTGGCAGAATTAAATGGGCCTTTCAGAAAAGCCATTTCCTAGCCTATGCAAGCTAAAAGTAAATCCTATACACCATGGGACTCTTTTTCTGCACAGAAGGCTGTAAAACAATGTGTCTAGTATGCCTACCAGGGAATGGCTATTATGGAGAACTTCAATAGGATTTGGCAGTATTGTTGATGAAAGTTCCGGTTCTTCAGATGCTTATTGTTATTTGAAGAGCGCTCCTATCTCTGGTTTATTTCATTTTATTTTTGCTATACAAGGACAGAAACTTTTTTTTCTTTTTCTTTTTTCTATTGGTCTTCTACAGATTAAAGAAAATTGTCTAGGTTGTTGCTAGGTTTTGTAGCCTCTTATCATTTATGTGAAGTATTTATTGTGGTGTTTGCTATATATGGGGGTTTTTGTTTTGTAATGTTTGCAATGTTTTGGATCTCTTTTGAGAGAAGAATGGCATATAAGTGGGGGGAAATTAGTCTATTTTGCACAGACAATTACCCCATTATACACAAAATATCAAGTGGGAAATGTGTACACTGACAATGCCATTGTTGGCAAAAAAGGCTTAAATTTAGCAAATTATCCCATTTCTAAAACACCTTCTTAAAAAGGGCAATTTACTTTTTAAAAAGTCTCATACAAAGAGATTATGCTCCAAGAAGAAAATCAGAATTGTTCCTTATCATCTCACCAAGAGTGAGACATTATGAAATTGATCTTCTTAGATTAATGTGGCTACACAAGAGAATGATGTTATGGAGGAAGACAGCAGAAGCAAGACAGATCTGAAACAGGCAGAAAAGCTCCTTCCATTTCCAAACATGTCACTAGTATTCCACACTTACCTGCAAATTTGATGTGGAACTTATTTTCAGGTTTCAGTATCTGTACATAGAGAGGACAATTAGGTGCAAAATCTTTAACTGCCCAAGATCTTAAAATGGTCTGATGATCCTAGAATAAAATAGAGGACAACACACATAAGGCAGATTGCTTTTCAAAGCATTAAATGAAAGTTGAATCGTGAGATTCATTAGACTGGCTGAATTAACAAATCACTTTCACTGGGCAGTCTTCTCTTTGGGGTATATATCAGATTTTATTATATTCCTAGTCAGTGTTTGCTTATGCACATATACAGCTATTTGCGGGGGAGGGAATGGGGACATAAAGAGAAGTTCTGGTCCTGAAAGTCCCTCTACTGAATATCAGCTAAATCACTGGTTCTTAACCTTGGGTTACTCAGGAGTTTTGGACTGCAACTCCCAGAAGCCTTCACCACCAGCTGTCCTGACTGTGGTTTCTGGGAGTTGCAGTTCAATAGCATCCGAGTAATAAAAGTTAAGAACCACTGAGCTAAAGCTTTGCACCAAGTGAGTGAGAAGATTGTGAAGTTCTCAAGAGGATTCTGGAAGCACACACAGCTGAACACATTTACAGAGCTCCTGAGATAAGCAACAAAGACAAGACTCCTGACCACATCGAAACAGGCTTATGCAGTTCTCTTCAGAATATCATGCTTAATATATGGACAGTTAATTAACTTTCAAGTGGTGGAGATATTTGGGTGCAGGACTTATCTGCATCCCCACATGTTCACTATGAGTGCCTCCTGAATATGTTCAGTGAATGCCTGAAGAGGGCTTTATTAAAAGCAAAATTGGAACTTTGGGACTTGATAGCTGATAATGTCCACCCTTTGTGGACTCTAAATAGTAAATATTTTCTCATGGATGATATCTTTAAAGTTTTGAAATCAATATAGGTGTCTATCACAATTACACAAGCAAATAGCAATTTTTATATCAGTGGTCGAGTTAGATTTCTGGTGAGCAGACTGATTTCTTGGCAATGACAGCAATTCAGAGGGAAATTGTACCATTCATTCTGATATAAAGGGCTGTATCAGCTTCAATTCTAATTCAAAACAGAGGTTATCCTATATAAAGAGGCAATGAGAAAAATAAAATTGGAGATCATCCAGTCTTTCAGTGACAAGAAACCAAGCTGCTGTGTGCTGAGGAGCAGTATCTTAGCCTCATCTTCACGCATCTGGTAACATATCGATGTGCAATGTTTATAGAAGGAACAAAATACTTATTGATATAGAATTAAAGAAGGGGGCTCTTCTTCAAGAAGAGAAGAATTTTAAGCAAGAGAACTACTATTAAAATGTTATCCATGGCACGGGTTTTCATGTACTCTATAGCAGCCCTGCAAAGATAACATTTGAAAGTATTCTTCCACAAGACAGAGGAGCCATGATGAAGAACTCTTCACTTTGGTTTTACAAAGATGCAGAGATATCTTAGAAAGCTAAGCAAGTATATGTAGCCATTAACCTGTGGTGAAATATATTTGTACTCCTTTTTTAAATAAAACATAAAACATCTCAGATGGGTTTTAACTTTAGACAGAAACTAGACAGAAACTTTGCCCTGTAACAAGAAACAAGACAGGGGAAATATTAATAATAACTCAAGTAACCTAGGAGGCAGCAAGAGCATGTCAAGGCTGAACTGAGCTCCTGTTAAATTGTTTTACTCAGTATATGGGAGGTAGCATGATGTAGCTCAAGTACTCAAAGTGACTATTATACAAACAGTAAATTATTAATTAAAACACAGTACAGTATTAGGTATCTGGGTCCCAAATTGTTACAAGAAATCCTACTTTTCTCTTTGAATGTGTTTCTATGCAATTTGCTTTATTTTAGTAGTTACTTTAATGAAAGACCATTGTGTTTTCATCAGTTCAGAAATAACAACAATCATTGTGTAATCCCTGTGTACTATTTGGTTCAGCCCACTGGGCAGGGAAAATCTTAGAAAAGGGCTGCCTGTGATTCAAAATTTCTATTCAGAAAGAGAGGGGGAGTTGGAGAAAGAAAGGAACTGCTGTTTCCCTGGAGGATGATATAGGTAGGCCCTTACCACCTTAGATCAAGAAGTAGAATTTCAATATATTTGTGAAAAAATGGCACTGTACTTGCATCCAAATTGTATTTCATTTTAGGGCTGTAAACACTGTACATCTGGAGCTGTTTCTTTCTCCTACGTTGGATGATAAAGATATCTGGGACTTTGTTGCTTACCCATTTGTTTAAAAGAGACATTTACATATTTCACACACACCCTATAAGCAACTCCTGTTCTGACAGTCTTTGTGAGTGGAATACAGGAGCATTAGTTTGGAAGCATCCAGGTTGGGCTGTCATATTTTGTTTTTTAAAAAATCACACACACATACACACACACATACATTTTTGCAAAGCTCATTATTTGCAATGTGCATATAAAGAATGCAGCTCAACAGAACTCAGCAAGTGATTCAACTGCTTTTAGCAAATGTGAAGTGACTGACTCAACAGAGCTGCTCTATCATATCAAATTACAGTGTTAATATAGTAAAATGCTCAAGTTAAGTGCTTTTACCTTCTAAGACACTATTCTCTAAATCTCATGTCAATTTTGTTTCCCAATTATATTTCAAAGTACAACTGAGGGTAATTTTCAGGACCTAATGATGTTAGGAAATGGAATGGATTGCCTAGTTATAAACTTCCTAGAGCACAAAAAGAAAGAGAATAATAATTCATTTAGATATGTGGTATCAGCAGATAAGATTTCTATGGTCTATTACACAAAATGGGAAGGGCAATTGGTATTTTCAGTTGATAGTCTTATCACTATTGATAGGAACAAGATGAATTTTTATTTTTAACTAGTAATAAGAAGATAACAAGCGATTTTGACATTTGCAGTTAATTGACCATCACAAATCTCTTGACAGGCAAAAAGAGAGATCATCTGATATAAGAGTATGTTTCTGTCCTCCATAAATAATACAGTGGTGCTTTGCTTAACAATTACCTCGTTAAACAACAAATCCACTTGATGATTAGGTTTTTGCGATCGCAAAACAATGTTCTAATGGGAAAAAAATGCTTTACGATGATCGGTTCCCTGCTTCAGGAACAGATTTTTTGCTTTACGACGATCAAAACAGCTGATCGTTGGGTTCCCAAAATGGCCACCCGCTGTACAAAATGGCTCCCCGCTGTTTCTAGGATGGATTTTTCGCTATACAGGGAGCAAAAAATGACTGCCCTATGGAGGATCTTTGCTGGACGAGCAGGTATTTCGCCCACTGGAATGCATTGAATGGTTTTCAATGCATTTCAATGGGCTTTTTTATTTCGCTGGATGACGATTTTGCTCTACAGCAATTTTGCTGGAACGGATTAACGTCGTCAAGCGAGGCACCCCTGTATGTCACAAAGCCTGAAGCTAATATTTTATTCCAGCGTGAATAAAACCTCAGACTCCCTACTCAAGAAAGCTAAGTGGGCAAGGGTCCAACACAAGAAATTATCCTTTAGAATGCCAGAGTTGAGATCTCAAGGACACTGGATCTTATTGTGTCTGGGAATATGCACAAGTAATGCAACAGGCATAATAACAATCTCACTGTTTAGCCATGCTTCTGTATTAATGCTGTGTCCTAAATTACTTCCATGGGAATTTTGACCATTCTCAGCAAATATGATAGCAAGAAATTCATTGTGAAAACAATTTCAAAGGAGAAGGAATTTCCCAGAAATTCTCAAGGTGAGGATCAACATTCCTGTGTTTGCTTTAATTATGAGTTAGCTCAGGAGAACATGTACATGCCTTTTATAGCTCAATGGTTTAGATCCCTGGCTGTGGAGCCAGAGGTTAATAGTTTGATTCCTCACTGTGCTTCCTTGAAAGGGACTGGACGCTCTGATCCATAGGGTTCCTTCCAGCTTTGCAGTTCTGAGATAATGATGATGATTTTTACTATTTTTGTTCTTGTTGTTGTTGCATAGTGATTTTTGTGGCAACTGGTAGGTCCCGGAGCTTCCCAACATTAATTAAAGCCCGGAGGATCATGCCATAAGGTAACTCCTCTCCAGAGCTGTTCTATATCAGGGAATCTGGGTAGCCAGGGAGATTGCAGACTGGTGATATGAGATGTAATAGGGGAAAGTAAATAACAAAATAAAACAAATACAGTATTTTCAGTTGCTTTGTGATATTACAGTAAACTGAAAAACATAACCAAAATAAATTCTAAAGAGACCTAATAATAAAGTAGCAAAATGGAAGTCTCTTTCACAGATAAAGCTTTTGAGAAACTGGTAAATTTCAGTGTCACCTTTATCTAGTGTTAGATACAATGTTGTCACCTGTCTATAGGATATATATATATATATGGAAAGAAATGTATTTTAAGCATATACACTACCAGAGAACAAATTTATCTACAAGATTACAGTGGTGCCTTGCTTAGCGATTGCTTCGTTTAATGATGTATTCGCTTTGCAATGGGTTTCTTTGAGGAATTTCCCCCATCGTTTAACGATGTTCTCTATGGGGGAATTTCACTTAACGATGTCCGTTTTCGCTCATTTAAAAGTGTCTTAAAATGTTTGAAACCTGTTTTAAATGCTTGGATTCGGTAGTCCACCTTGTGAAACCTATGCACACTTAGTTTGGCTTTGTTCTGAGTCTTCGTTAATTTTTGGTGATTTTTTGTTTTTTCTCTCATTGAAAACCATTGGACTGTCCGTTCAATGGATTTAAATGGGGAAAATAAAAAATCAAAAATTAACGAAGACTCAGAACAAAGCCAAACTAAGTGTGCATAGGCTTCACAAGGTGCACTACCAATTCCAAGCATTTAAAACAGGTTTCAAACATTGTAAGACACTTTTAAATGAGCGAAAACGGACATCGGAAAGAGCTTCCTTCAAAAGCACTGAAGCCGGCTTCAGTGCTTTTGAATGGCTTTCCCTTGGGGGAAACATTGTTTCACTTAGCGATGTTTCCTATGGGGATTTTTGCTTAAGGACGGTAATCCGTTCCCATTGGAACAGATTAACTGGTTTTCAATGCATTCCTATGGGAAATGGTGTTTCATTTAACGAT